TCAAATAGTTCCTCTCCTACTTATGTATAATATTTTCAAAGATTTTAAACAAGATATTGCGTTTATTGCACGATGTTACACATTTATGACAAAAATGAATAGATGAAACACAAAACTGTGAAAATGTTAGAAGAATTTAAGAATATTGTTACGCTATATTCGATTTATTAAAATTATGAAAAGAATATGTGCGTTTCTATTTCATTTCTGTTTCTGACAATTGTGAACACAATGAACATCGGAGATTTGATATAAGTTTTAAATTATGAACTAGTTTAACCTGGATGTTAATATCTTCAATACGCTTATTAAAATGTTGTAACTGTATTTCTTTAATAATCTTCTATTCTATTGAAAATTGAACCCTATTTATTTATTTAATAACTCAGAAGCATTGATTATACAGGAAATTGCTCGCTGATGAACAAACGCTGAAATACTAAAATGCCCTAACTTAACGAGTCTTTAATAAGTATTTCTCTAGAAATTACATTCTTAATTGTATTCGTGTTGCACCACTCGTTTATTCAGCACTGTCCAATATACGTAACCAAGTATTATTATCTGCTAAAAATTGTTTGTTCAGATGTTGCAAAAAAAAAATCATATTCGATTCTACATTTACGAGGGACATTGTAGTGCAATATTATTTCTATTCTTAGAAACGTTGATAGCTTAAATTGTTACATCATAAAGAATGTAGCGCAGAACAATTGAATTTTGATACCCACTATTATTAGGTTGTCGTAAGAGTTCGAATTATTTATACATTTATGGGCGAGTTCGATTTCTAATAATTCATTATTCTTTGCTAAGGTAATGATCATTTATCCGAAATTTTATGCGTATAGGTACTGACTTTTAGTTTTATATTTTTCACTTCTAAGAATTTATAACGCGTTGATTACTATTTAAATAGCGAGTAACTAAATTTAAAAAAAAACTGTGGCTCCGTAAACTATAGGTTACATTCAAAATAATTGATTTTTAGATGTAAGATAATTTACAAAAGTCTACGTTCGTTCTGTACTGTTCAATATTAATTCAACATTAATGATCAATATGTTCGATTTTATAAAATGTAAATACAAACCATGAGATAATGATAAATGTTTTGTCGATTCTTTGCTGTTATATAAAAGTATGTATTAACATATATTAATTTCCCATAACTGTCCTTGAAATATGTATGTGTTGGCAGGGGGGTCATTACTTGAATAATTTTGTCCTGTTATTGTATAATATATAAATCATTCCTTGAAATAAAAATGATACATTTTCGTAATCAGTCCACTTTTTATTGTTAAATGCAAATACATGTAGTTACATACAAAATTACTATGAGACAATTACAAAATTGTTTGACAATATTTGTTTTTACTCCAAACATTTTAGGTATAAAGACATGTGAACGGTGATATTATAAATACATATCTTATAACCAAATTAATTACGTTCGAATAGGCATTATCGTCGCATTACGTCGTGTTACAAAACAAAAATTCTTTCCTTCTCGACGATTAACACATTCTGTAAACGTAAACAATTAGCATTACAATAAAGTACATCAAATTCATTTGACACATTTAACACTAGGTGTAACAAAAACATGGCTTACGTTGTTTCATTCACGAGCCTTTGCGATTACATGTTCTGAATGTTTCTTAACGTAATATAAGATACAATGTATCTTGACCAACAGCAAATATTAATTCTTGTGTAATTGTTTAAATTCTCTTGATTTAAAAATACAGCTCTAATTGATAAATATCGAATAACTTATTTTCACAACATAC